ATCGACGGCCAAGCCCGGCCTTGGCGTTGTCATGCAAGGCTAAGGCGACGCGACACGAGAAGACATACTGCTATACACAAGTCCTTGCCAATACATACACACCTATGCGCGCTTAGTCTTCTAGCACTTGGAAACGTGGCACGTCCGTTGGCTCGGCTTCGTGCGCCTCATCATCATCATCGTCGTCATCGTCATCATCGTCGTCGTCCTCAATGATCTCGAAGCGCTTGAAGGGCTGCGACGTCGTCGGTGCAGGACGGACGTCCTCCTCTTCGTCGTCTTCGATGATCTCGAACCGCTTAAAAGGCGTTGTTGTCGGCGCTGGCGCTTCGGGCTGCAGCGTCCCGCCGCGCGTTCCATCCACTTCCAGCCACTTTTCCTCGGTCTTCTTTAGCAGCTTTTCAACTTCACGGTTGCCGGGTTCGAGGACCAGCGCCTGCGTAAAGTCGCTGACGGCCTCGGCGTACTTACCACGGCGGAAGCGCGTCATGCCGCGACGCGACCACGCTTTCGTGTACGTTGGGTCGAGCTGAATCGCGCTGCTGCAATCGTCCTCGGCGCTGGTCAAGTTCTTGAGGCGGAGGTGGGTGAGCGCGCGGTTGGCATGGACAATCGCACTGCTCGGGTCGTACGCAAGGCTCCGCGAGTAATACAAAATCGCTTCGTCGTTCTCGCCGAGCTTGAAGCACTCGTTGCCCTTGGTCTTCTCATGGAGCGCGTACACCTCGCGTTCGGTCGGCGTGAGGACGTCGAGGTCAACCGAGACGGGCATTTGAGCCTCCTTCACGCGGCGCGCGGTCCGCGCGTGAAGCTCGTCGCGCTGCCGACGCGCGTCGTCTTGTTTGCGCTGCTCCTCCGCATCCAGCTCGCGCTCGGCCGCTTCGACGTCGTACTTTTCCCACGACCGCCAGTCGTACGCGGGAATCGCCTGCTTCTTCTTCGAGGTCGTCACCTCTTGGACCTCTTGGATCAACGGCGACGGCGGCGCGTTTGTCGGTTGGGCACGGCCGCGCACCGCTGGGCGATTCCGCGGCGCCGCAATGCGCTGGGCTTCGACGTCGAGCCGCTGGAGCTTCTGCTCCATGTCGCGTTCCCATGACGCAAGCGCCGCCTTCTCCGAGTCAATGTCCGAGTAGGATGGCTGGGACTGGAGCCGCTCGATGCGGTCGCGCTCGGCCTTGGGGAGGACCTTGAGCAGTTGGGCTTCGGTCGCCCGCTCGAGCTGTGGGTACTTGCCTTCTTTGCCCGACTGCAGCACGGCGAGGATGTTCTTGAGCAAGTCTGCATCCGTGCACTTGTCGACATAGTCGTAGTCGAGCATCTCGACGTCCACATCGCGCTTCTTGCGGCTATGCAGCGAGAAGTAGTCGACCGCGGCTTCCGTGTCCATCATGCTGCTCGTGCACGTCGTTTGGAAGATCTTATTGTCGCTTTGGATCGTCAAACGTCGGCGTACCGTACCGTACACACCGTACAATTATATACATTTTAAAGTACAAATACACCAAACGTACATCGTACAGAACCACTGAAAGGGCAACGTACACGCCCGGTATCTTGAAGGGGTGCGACTCGCCGCGAGCGAAGCCCCAGTCGAGATCAATGACACCTCTCATACCTACTTGGATATCTCTCTGTGGTCCTTGCTTCGTAGAGCGCTTAGTGCTCTCAACGCCTGGGCTTGTGAAATCCAAGTGCACGAGATTCTAGTATCCGGCGCTGACCACACGCCATCAGATCCACCATTAGACTCGACAAGGTCGTGCAGATTGATTCAACTCGAATTAACTTTCGCACGTCTTGGCCGAGCCCTTGCGTTTCACCTTGGTCGCTTGCGTGGCTTCGACGACCGCCCACTCGTCTTCGGCTTGTGCCCACGGGTCGAGCTGGGCGGCCGCTTTGTAATCGTCTTCGATGGACGATCCGCGAGAAGGTCGCGTCGACGTCGACGACGCGTCATCGTCCATGTCCTTGGCGTCGGCGGCTGCGTCTTGTTGCGCCATCGCAGCCAGTACAAAGGGGCTCGTCGTGCCACACGCGTCACAGGCTTCGGCCGTAAGGGTGTTGCGAAGGGTGCACGACGGGCACTCCCACATTTCCAGCTCTCCGCTATCTTTCTCCATTCTGTTTTCAAAATTGAATTGTGATTCTGGCGAGGCGACGGTATCGCCTATTAATTCTAAATTTACGCGGTGTGGCCGTTGATCTGTCGGTTGGACGCTGGACAAGACCGCATGACCCGCCATTTCTGATAGGACTCGAAGCATGCGTTCAAGATTCACAGACTTGCGCATTTGCGACGCCGCACCACGTGGGATCAGATGCGGGAACAGAGCTCGCTGGATGCTCAGATGCTAGAATCTGGGCTGTGTCGGTCGCCTCGGATCGAAATGCACTGGAACTCTGGTTGTTGTCGTGCTTGAAGAAGAGAAAGAAAGGCGTCGCTGCGTTTGCAGTCGACGGACCATAAGATGTTCTTGTGGCTTGCCCTCGCGCGATCTTTGCCACTTCAACTTGGCGCTGATTGGCTAAATCCACGATGCATGCTTGTGACGCGCCTAGGCGGATCCCCATTTGAGTCGGTTCGTTGACTGTTTCGTCACCGTTTCGGGCACGGTGATTGGTCCATGGCGGCTGCCAGTGACCTACGAGCCAATCCAATGGCGGCAAAGAGACGCTGCGTCCTCTGATTGGTTCGTGCGCCTCTATTGGTAAAAAAAGGGGTCCTGGAATAAAAAAGATCGCACGAGACACGGGCTTGAAGGCAAGGGCCCACGGAAATCTTTGAGCGACCCATTTTCGCATCTTCGCCGTAGCACCAGCATGACGCCCCGAACGCCCCCGATGATGGCGACGAGCCCGCTCAAGGACGCGATGGCGTCGGAGCTCAAGGGCAAGCCGGTCTCGCCGTACGTCAAGATGGCCGCGGGCATGGCGGGCGGCGTCGCCGAGGCGTGCTTGCTCCAGCCGCTCGACGTGACCAAGACGCGTCTC